GGCACACAGGGAAAACGAAGAGGAAAACAGAGCAAGGATACCGCAAGAGGACAACTGGGAAACCCTTCCTCTACTTCCCTGCAGTCCTTTTTCCAAGGAAAACATTGCTGCTCTGCGGCTGCTAATCACTTCCAGATGGAGCAACAACATTGGGAGGCACAGAGAGCTCTCCTGGGGGGATGTGGCATGCACGGGGAGATGAAAGACCGCTCGTCTGCAGGAAGCAAAGGACACCTCAGGCATAAAAGCAAAGCAGGGAGGTGTGGCGAAGACCCAAGCCAAACTCCCCACGAGGGCATGTACTCACAACCCCACCCCAAGCGCTTCCACACGCAGAGATGCCGCACAGATTTTCTCTGTTTTGCCTGGCTGGGACGTGCAGGAAAGAGACGTTAACTTCCAGCATCGGAGCGTGATCAGTGCGCATGCAGGGCAGGGGTGGCAGGAAGAGCTGGGTCTGCAGTGTCCTCCACAACGAGCACGGGCGACGCTAGTACGCGCCAAGCGCACAGGAGGCCAAGGCTGCAATGGGCCGGAGCAGCTCCTGTTGCCCCAGGCTATGGATACCTGAATGCGCCCCAAATTTTACTCACTGGCAGAATCCAAATGCAGAGGGAGGACATTCTGGGGGACTGTTTACTGCCTGAACACCCGGCGCAGCTCTGGAAGCTACTGGTTCAAACTGCTGGAAGCTCTAGGTTGTGTAGGAGCCACATGAGGCAGAGCTCCTCTGCCGCAGTGACAGCAGCGGGTGACGGACTGGGGATAGGCGAAGGAGGACAACTACTACAGCCTTTGTCTGCAGAGGAAACAAGGAGCTGGGTACAACGAAGACGACTGAGCTACAATTAAATACAGCTTTCACACCAAGCTTACTACCTCCTTTTGCCATACACAGCTGTCGCACGGAACTCCATCTAAGAGTTAATCTGAGTTAGGGCAGAGGGCTTCAGTGGAAGGACGCTTCCTGTTTTGTTTGCACATGTGACTTGTCCACAAGTTGCTGGTTGGAGAGAAACCGAAGATAAAATTACAGAGGGATATTCCAGGACTTTTGAGCCTAATCTCATGCTATAAAGGAGCTGGCCACCTTTAAAAGATGCCTGCAGTTTCCCAAAGGAAAGAGCAAGGAGCCACAGCAGCAAACACAAAATCAGGAACTTGGCACTGATCCAGCGAAGCAGGCGCTGGTCAGGACCTGCTTTCGAGGGCCTTTGCAGCACTGTGAAGCAACCCCGGGGGCGCTTCAAGGCGCAAGGGAGCCCTCACTCACCCTGTGAAACCCCCACTTGGCCCAAGGCAGTCCCCAAGAGACGAGTGGTGCAAAAGCTGCTTTTACGGACAGAAGAACCTGCTCCTCAGCCCTTGCTCAGCCAACGCGTGTCGCTCAGGGCACGCGGCACCCTCGGCCTGTGGCGGGGAGCCTAGGACGGCGCGGTTCGCTTGAAAAGGAGTGTGCGTGCGCACCTCGAGAGCGGGGATTCAGTGCTGCACAAGAGCCGTTTCCCCTGCGAAACTATCTCACCTGGAGCTCACAGCAGACCACAGCTTAGCAGACGTAAGGCACAGCATTAAAATTAGCCTGACACTACTGCTGCCCCCACCACACCACATCCCGCTCTCTGAGGGATGTCATAGCAGGGCTGCCCAGGCTGCCTGTCAGGCACTTCCAGAATTGCCACCATTTTCAGTCTTTTTGCTAATGGAAGAAAAAGGATAGGGAGAGAGAGAAAAAAAAACGGTGGTGCCTTTTTAATCAGGGTGGCAACATTCAGAAGAAGGACGGTGCTGAAGGGGAGTGGCAGCAACAGCTTCAGCATCCAAATTTAATTCGCCATTGCATGCCTGCTGAAACCTTATACTCCTCCCAAGGAGTGCCGATGCTGTAGCACTCAGGAGGGGGGGGGGAAAGAAAAAAAAAAAAAAAAAAAAAAAAGGCCACTGGCCAGGAGAGGAATTATTATTAAAAAGTAAAGGTCAGGCTGAAAAACTGAACCCAAGGAGAGAGTGGGAAAAAAAACAAAATCCAGAACTCATTGACCCCTTTTCCACTCGCAAGGCTCTGCCGAAGCCTGTCCCACCTCTGCATGTTCCCGTGCTCCCGCTCGCGGCTGGCCCCGCTCCCGGGGACAGTCAGCGTGCCGGGCAGCTTATTTTATCGCTTGCTATTAACAGCTGGATGCAGATTTCCTATTTTGGATCTGTTGAGAGCCAGGCCAAAAACACCTGACCACAGCACTCCGCTCCTCATCAGATGTTTTCAGGGGGAACAAGCAAACATGGGGAGAGACAGGGCACTCAGGAAAGCCAGGAGCCCAGGAACAAGGACGCAGCTACAGATCCTCCAGCCCACTCCACAGAGCGCCCTCCTGCCCAGCTCTCTGGCACCAGAGGGGCCCCAGCAGGTTCATGAAATGGGCTCTCTATGGAGGACTGCAGCAAGGGATCGGCTCCGGGTGCCAACACCAGCCTGCTGCTGGCTCGGGTTTCCACTAGTCCTGCTTGCTGAACCAGCTCAGCGCTAAAGGGCAAGCACAAGCCACTAACCCCACGGCACCCTCTTTTCCTGCCCTTACGGTTGTCCCTCAGGACGGGTCCTGCCAGGAGAGAGGGGCTCATGCTGGTGCCTCTCAGCCACGCTGCCGCCGCCGCGGCGCTGCCTGTCTCCCCAATGCGGCACTCAGTGCACGCAGGAGCTACCATACTGCAATACTGCACCTAATAATAGGTGCAATACTGCAGCCCCTCACCCCATCACTGCTGCAAAGCAGCAGACCACTCCTCACCCTACCACTTTTCTTGCAGCCTTTCAGACTGTGCCCATCACCGGGCAATATTGCCTTCCTCCACATTCCTCTCTATTCCTGCCCGTTTGGTGCTGAGCCATGGCCTGGCATGAAAAGCAGGGAGGAAAAAATCCCCCGAACATACACATACACACGCACACACATTGCCATGGCCAACTGGTAGATGTACAGACCCCCAGCATTCTTCCTTCTGCTTTTCCTCACAGTGCCACTACCTTCAGTAACTATTTCTGGATATCATACAGGCAAGTGCCTGAAGGCCAAGGTTCCTGGCCTATTAATAAAGAAATGGTTGCCATTCCAGCCAACCCCTAACTCCGTTTTGCTTCAGTTTTAGAACAGCCAAGCAGCTAACATGCCATTTTCTGGAGCATTATGACCACAGCCAAAGTGGCAGAGCCAAGAGCACAGGCTGCAAGGAGCACCCACCATCAGATGTTACTCACTGGGGCAAAAACCCACAAAGGAGAGCTCTGCTTGCAACCCTTGGAGCCCAAAAACACGACTAGCCTGATGCCAAAGCACTGGGGGAGGGCATTTCTTGCAGAAAGCCCCGGAGCTGCTCGTGGACGGGGGAATATCGGCAACAACAGGTGCCTCTGGGGCGCCGGGGCCAAGGAAAGCAGGCGCAGGAATTCCTCCCGCTCCCTTCCCGGCAGGATCCTTGCTGCTTCCCAGCAGTGCGTCCCTTTGCCCACGGCCAGCAGGGGCTTTGCAGGGACGCCCACACCAGCAAACAGGAAAGTGGTCGATAAGGGGGAAGGGAAAAAGGAAAACAAACAAAAAAGAAGAAGAAAGGGTGTTTCAAAAGCCTCCTGGCAGATCCCGGGACAAGCACCCTGTGCCAGACACAAAGGAGCAGACCGTGAGGAAGAATCCAGCGCTGGAGGCCAAGCCCAAGCACGCGGGAGCGAGAGGCGTGCGGAGCGGGAACACTGTGTGCGTACGGACGCTGGACGCCGGAGCAGGGAGGAACAGGACATGCGCTGCTGCGATGGGAACGTCGGCTGCCACAGGGCGGGGAGAGCGAAGAAAGAGCGGGGAAGAAAGGAGAGGAAAAGAAAGAGAAAAGAAGGCAAGGAATCCCGGCCCCCGAAGGCCCCAGCAAAGAGCCAGCAGCTGAACGGAGCGCGCTGCTGCTATTACTGAATGGAAATTACAGCTGCTAGAAGGAATCCAGGCAGCTCTTCTGCTCAGCACAGCTTTGAAGGAGCAGGCTCCAAGCACAGCCGCTGCCGGGCACCGGGAAAGCCTGGCAAGGCGGCACCTTCCTGCCCGAGCCGCCTGACTGCCTGCAGCACTTGAGTGAATCTCCAACGGGATTGCCAAGGGAGCATTTGGTCCATGCACAAGACAGGCGAGACTCTCAAACCTCCTATTCCGCAGGCACAGGCGCACTCCACACCACTGCTCGTATCTGAGGAATCTGAGATCAAACAGCCCTCACTGGGCCCCAGGAGAGCCGGGGGACCCGCACCCTCTCCTCCCCACGAGGGAGGCTGGAGACCATCTGGAAGCTGCTCATGGCTGCTCCTAAGCAAGAGCGCTGGAGAGCAGGGCAAAACAAGGGTTTTCTCCTTCCAACGAGTCAGTGTGCTGTCATATTAATAAAATCAAACTAAGCTTAAACACACATACAGACGGTCCACCGGCCCCTCCTGGAGAACATGAGTCATGCTGTTCTCCGAGTTGTACTTTCCACTGCCAACTGTTCCTTTAGCTACTTTTATATCCTTTTGGGAGAGGGATGAGGAAACAAGACAGGCAGCCAAGTCTCCCATCTTTCCAGATCAACCATGTACCCTCTGCTGAAGCCAACGTGTTGCAGAGGAGACCATAACCAAGAACAACTTCAAAGGAAATTTGCTATACAGAAACACTATCCAAAATTAAAGGTCTTTTGCACTTTTTGCCACTTTGGAGTCTACGTTTCAGACATAGCCCAGGTGACGTATGACAAACATTTGGATCTGCACATGATAGACGTTTTGGGGAAAATCAGGGAAGCAGTAGTTATTTTAAGCTACACATCACACTGCCTTGCCAAGTCTGTTCCTCATCCATGGTGATCCTCTCAGTACAGCACCATCCTCTACACTGTGCTTTCACGGTGCACCCCAACAAATCATGCGGGGATGAAACGCCAAGGGAGCGGTGCCAGCTCCTGCACCCTGCTCCCCAGGGGCTGCTTACCTACGTAGAAGGTGTTGGGGGCCTGCTTGTCCCCCAGCTGCAGGTAGAGGATGTTCGTGGTCTGCGAATCATGACGAAGCCACAGGGCCACTCCGAGGATGACTCCTCCGGCCAACTGGGGAGAAAGAAGATGGAAACCACACGTTAAGAGCTGCAGTACCCACAGCAGCCCGGCCCGCACCTCTGGGCAGGAAAGACTCGCTCTTTCTGAAGCCTCCTTTGAGGGAATCACTTCAGGTACGAGAAAGGCCCTCAATTCCTGTCACGGTCCATTTCCCAGCTCGCACCTAGGTTATAACTTGAGCTTCCCTTCCAGCTTGCTGCAAGTTCTTGTTTTCCTCTGCGGGCCTGGAAGAAAAAAACCCCATCTCCCTCCTGCTATGGAAAACAGGCAGCGTTTCCAACCGCGGCAGCCTGCCCGTGTACCAGGGAGAGGTTAATGTGCTGCTGGTTTGCCACAAGACCACGGGCTGCCGCGGCGCAGGGATGGGCCTCCCAGCCCTCCTTCCCCTGCTCCGGAAAGCCCACGGCGCTGCCAACCCTTCCATTCGGCTCCTGGGGGGAAACATCTTCACCCCCTCCCAGCTCTCAACCCTGTGTCGGCCTCTTGCTGTTAGTTGTTTCCTCCATAGTTCCACGAACATTCGCTATTCCAGGTAAACACAACTCTCAGATCTACTAAAGAGACCACTCACTTACAGGAACATCCTTTTTACTTAGCCTCACCCCCACCTTTGCAACGTGTTTTGAAGCATATGCAGCCTACAGCAACATTTTCCAGGCTATGGACTACATGATTCACACAGTCCTCATCGATTGCAAGACCATCTTTCACTCTGAGCCTCTGCCAAGTGATTTCCAGTTCCTGTAGGCCATTTCTTTCCTAGGAGCTGTTTTATATCACTGTTAAAACAAAATGCTAAGTCTTACCTAAGAAGCAAGAACTCTGCAAGTGAAGTTTTAGGGACCTTTTCTTTTCTTTGATGCTGTTAGCTATACACTCAGGGTTTTATAAATTTAAGTCCAAACAAAATTATATTTGCAATGACGTAGCACATGCCTCTCATCTCACCCTCCCATTTGTATATTTTGGAAACTGGGTAGGAAGGCAAGGCCAGAGCAGGGATGAGAAAGTGTCTGGGAGAACCGTCACATCTTTCTCTCTCAAAGTCTCTCTCTGCCCCTACATTTGCTATTTTCCCCCCTCCCAGTTCACATTTCCATCTTGAGCAGACCAAAGGGTCTGCTGGTTTGGAGTTTTTGCTCGTTTCCCCCGCTCTCAAAGCGCTGCGCGTGGTCAGGCCACGGCACAACACACAACTCCAGAGGCTACCACAGATGTTTGGTGGAGCTGCTCAGCTCCACCAGCTCACTGGGTGAGAACTGCTGCCTAGCTTGAACCCAAGGCTCTTCTAGCTGGTCTCACCATGTTATCCCATTGCATATCCACCCCTTTCGAATCATTGGGGCAGGGGGAGCGGAGAAAAACACACACAAAAGGAAAAAAAAAAAGCCCTATGAATTCAATATGACTTCTAAGAGATGCTGTAAAATCTTTTCAAATGGCGATTCAATTTCAAATGTCTTATATCCTTGTAACATCTCATTTGAAAATAAATAAATAAATACATAAAAAGAAAAAGCAGCCATATAAAGGAAAGGTAAGTATGGTACAGCACGAAGGGGGAAAGAAATGCTTTCACAAGGGTCTTTGAGTCAGGCCAGCTCAGCTACAAGGCACTACGAAGATTGCACCTGAAAAAAGAGCTCGTTTGGTAATAGCACAAAGTTTGTAAGTGAGCAGCTGCAGCAGAGCCTACATTAATGCATGGACTGGGATTTCCAAAAAAAGATGCTCAGTGGGAGCCTAACTTTGCCCTTTCTGGGGTCAGTTGGTGGTTTTCTTCCTCACGACCTGCAAAACCCAGTGATGAGATTCTTGCTGGGGTAGCATCAAAAAAAAACCCTCTATGGCAAATGCACTCTTAGTGCAGAATTCACAGTGCAGCTGGACCTTTGAGCTGCCACATCCAGTTAGTGGCAGGAAAAGACCCCCACCAGGACCTACGATCCTGCCCTTGTGGAGAAGGAAGGGATTTTTGTCAGCCTCTCTGCTCCTTTGCCGCCAAGGCGCTCAGCGTTAACACGGCTCTGCAGGAGGCAGTGCCGCTCGCCTGCCAGGACGCTGCCTTATCTCGCCTGCTTGGAGAGCCCCAGGTCCTTGCTATGGAAAAAGCAACGAACGGGCAGCCCGGGCTCTAACTCAGCTCCAAATAAGGCAGCTAGTGGCTTAGCAGAAAGTTAGCCAAATCCAGCCTGGTATTTCTCATTCATTGTCTAGGGACATAATAAAACCCATGTTTATTTATCCCTCTGGGAATAAGAAGTCTGCCCCAAAATTAATCAGCGCCGTCTTTTAAGTCAAAGGTCTTTTTGTGGCTCTCCTGGGGAACAAAGTCTCCAAGAAGATTTGGGTTTCTGTGCTGGCCTGCAGAGACTGCATAGACGGGATCGTTTTCACAAAAAGGCAACAGGCTTGGAACGAGGGCAGCACCACGCGGCAAACGCTGGTTTTGAGGAACGGGGCTCACTTCGGTGTTTCTTCACAAGTCAACACAAGTCATGTCCCATCTGCACATGGGAAAGGCCTTTTCATGTAATGAAGACTCCATCTGCACATGGGAAAGGCCTTTTCACGATCAGAAAGACCATGGATCTAGGATGCAATTTGGCCACTTTGGATTCTGCAGGGGGGGGACAGAGATGGAGGGAAGGAAAGAAGGGAAGAGGAAAAAAAAAATCCCTCACCAAATTGCCATAGTAACCCTGGCTTCCAGCACAGCGACTATATTTTAAAAGAGGTGACCCAGAGGTCACCTCTTGTAAAATCCCGAAAGGAAAGCTGCATGTTTCCACGCAGAGAGCAGCTTTTCGTATCTGCTTTCTTCTTCTCAGTGTGAGAAATTTTGGCAGAACGAAAAACAAACGTACCGGCATTGCTCTTTGCCCTGCACGCTGCCCCGTGTGCTTAGCAGATAGCAGTATCTGAACCAGGATACAGAGGGTGAGGACTTTGTATAAATGCCTTGTGCATTTGTCTTGTGCCTTGTACAATGGCCTTGTGCAAAATGCTGGCAGCAAAGCTAGAGTAAGAGCCGTTTGCTCCAACACGAACAGCAGCAGCTGATTTAAAATGAGACGTGCATTGAAGTGCCTGAGCCACAGAAAACTGCAAGCTGTTCTCTAAAATGTATATTTTTTTCAGTAATACGCACTGAAGGGATACAGTCTCTTCTGGCTGTCAAACCCACTCCAGGAGTTAGGTCTAGCCGACTGAGGAAGCACTAGCACTATCCCCAAATATTCCAGGTTTAGCCCAAGCAACTCCCGCCCTTGCCACCCGACTTCATTTGAGTTTTTAACAGAGCACAGAGGACCTCCGAATGGAGGTTTTAATCCAACAGCAACTGGGTTTCTTAAGAGAAAATGATGTTAGCTTACTAATGAAAACAGTGCTCGGTCAACGATGAACAACTTTTTCCATGTGTCCTTCCACTACCAAAAAAAGCACAGGACTAATTACAGCATCTCTCTTTCCAAAGGAAAGAGAGCGAGAGGGAGAAGCCCCCGTCGGCTTTGCTGCGAGACTCCCTGTCCTCACGGCCCTGCGCCAGCGGGGACAACGCCAGCGAGGTGCTACCCAGAGAAGACTGCTCGGAAGCTCCCCTTCCAGGACGCACACCCCACGCGTGGGCACGCTGTCCAGGAAGAAGGAAGGAAACCACACTGCAGCAGTGTTTTGCCCCTCCAGGTTCCTCTCTACCAACGCTCCCTGACCCGAGGGGCAGAGTGGCACGATCACCAGTCTGCTTCGCTTCCTACATAGCAGGCAGCGCGCGTCTCGCTGCGGCTAAGCTGGCTTGTCAACACGGCGGCAGCTCATTCGGATGCAAGCTAGGGATATCCTTTCCTCGCCATCCTACACTTCACACGACGCCAGCCCTCTCCCCACGGCCAGCTGCTGTGCTGCAGCAAAAGACAAGGCCCCCAACCCAACGCAACCCAATGCGACACCAGCCAACGCAACCCAACCCAACGCCTCTTCCCTGCCCCTTCAGAAAGCTCCCCCTGGACCTCAGTGGGAGCCCAGACTATGCCTGGGCACTGGTGCTGCCTTGCGTGTGCTGCGCCCACCCTGCACACTGTGCCCAATGCGGGCGGCTCCAAGCGGGTTTCCCGGTACAGGAGAGGCAGCTTGGCACACGATCCCAAGCATTTCCTCCTCCCTGCAGTTTTCCAGCTTCCAAAGATTTATTGCCGCTTCCCCAGACAGCTAGACTATTCCAGCTGGATCTTGCCTGCCAGGGCTGTCCGCAAGACTTGCTTTTAACAAGGGATTTCAGAAATTCCTGCTCGGCACAATAGAGGTGGGGAGAGAAAAAAAAAAAAAAAAAAAAAAAGAAGCCGGCGGAGCTGCTGATTAGACCCTGCTGTGGGGAGGAAGAGAGCGTCCCCCAAGATGCAGCAGCCCCCATGAAGGGGGATCAGAAGGCAACAGCATGAACGTGTCTTCATGTGACCAAAATGCAGCACAAGCAACTTCAGTTCATGGCCCTGTGAAGGGCCCGACTTTCCTCCACCTGCAGCGGCCAGCGTGGCTCTCTAAGCAGCTCCTGCCGCCTTCAATCCCAGTTCTCCCACCTGGTGACTCTCGGAAAACGCTCCTTGCTGCTGCAGAGCGCGGGATGGGGCAACCCAAGGGCTATGGGGCAACAGTGCAAGCCCTGCGCTGTTTCCAGAGCATTTGTAGCAGCTTGAGCATCGTGAGGGCACACGTAACCCCACACGGGGTCTGCGGAAGCCCCTTCTGGAGCCTGCCCTCCCTCCAGCAAGCCTGTAGTTCACGGAGGGCTGTAGGAGACGGCCCCTTTCTCCCCTTCCACGGGGGCACCCTTGAAGGGACGCGGCCCTTCCGGGGAGGCCGGTCGCGGCATGAGAGAGAACGCCGATGCTTCCCAGAGGTGCCCGTGCACCAGGATGTGCATCATCCACCGGGCCCTTCCGCTGCCACCAGCCCTCTTCCCCCGGCTCCCCCTGCACCTCTCCTGCAGAAGA